GGAGGTGGTCGTGGCTGCTGAAAATCCACAAGGGTCAGCCTATGTGGAAATCCCATTCTTGGAAACCGTATTGGCGAATGAGAATTAGTCTTTTGCCTTCAGCTCAGGCTTTCATTCGCCGCTGTTTCCGTGTAACAAATCCCAGAGAGCAAGCTTTGAAACTGTCCAGTTTACGGGCTATGCTTAGTTTTACAAGTGTGTTTGAGAAGCAACTTATTTGTTTAAATGTTGAATTTAATCACTTCTTGTGTAATAACAGCATTTAAAATTTCTTTATTTAAGCAGTAGTCTTTTCGAGAACATAAAGCCAAAACTAGTTAATATTTCTTACCATCCTTTATAAGCCTTTGGTCAGCTACATGTATGCAACGGCCCCAGGAAGGTATTCTGTTCACCAAACGTAAAACACATGGTTACTTTTCACATACACTGGGGTCCAGGACACAGGATAAGCGTACATGGCAGATATATATGCACTATGTATGGTATCTTTGCATTGCGTGCAGACTTCTTAGACTCTCCAATATTACAGTGCAGAACTGAGATTTTGTGCTGCAAGGTAACACAAACAGGAGGAGAAAGACTCAGGACCCAAGCCACTTTCCAGGAATAAGCAGTTTGCATGATGTTAATATGTGTAGGAAACTTTGCAAAGTAAAGAAGAGTCACGTATTTATTTTGAACTTAGGTTTGTGTGTGTTTTCAAAACTCAAATTAAAATACAAATATATGGTGAAAAAGACAATGTTAGTAATCATTCAAAGCATAATCTGCCTTTATTTTTGTGCAATTTTTAAGCAGCATTATTTTTCATAAGAATCACCAATGTCTAAATGAAGGATATTTGTACCACAGCCTTGCCTCACCATCGTAAAACATATTTGGAAAATACCGTTATTTTTAGATAACTCATTGTAAGTGTAGTTAGGACACTGCTTTTGTTTAAGTTACAGTTCTCACCAAAAGGTTTATGAAATACAAATGCCTGTCAGTGTGTTAACTGAGAAACAACAGTCAGCACAGAGTAGTGCTTTGAAATAAAAATATCCAGGGAACATTGCTGAAGCCCTGTGAGAGGAGCTCCCTGTGTCTCAAGTAATGCTCTAATTTTCCCAACATCTCTAAGTCAGGGGAAGAAAATGGACAAGAGGACCCTCACAGGGACAGTGTTCCAAGTTACCTTGAGTCCCTCCTTTGCCAGTGGAACAGCACCATGCGATCGCTCCTCTCACGTAACTCACAGAAGGGCGTCTGTCAACAAGGAGGGCTCTCTGAGTCTCCTCTCCAACGACTCAGCCTCTACAGTTCCCTCCATGTGACTCCCGCTGAGGGATTTCGTGGCCGCTGCTGTGGGCTCACAGCCAGTCCTCGGGTCAGAACCCCTCCTGCACTCGTGACAGGGACTCTCTCTCCGATGGGCCAGTGCCGTCCAGGAGCAAAGGCAGCGCCGCGTCCCTTCTCACCTGTTGTCAGCTCCAGTCCTGCCGGAGACCTGGAGACAATTATGAGACGCTGTGATCTCTGGAGATTTCCCCTGAGAACAGCTACAGCTCCTCATCCCAGTCTCTTAGGGAAGATGACATGAAACTGCCTCTAGGAACCAAGGTGGTTACATTTTTAAAAATTAAATGTGATTTTATCTGATAAATGGAAATGTAAATAAATTATATACTAAAGAGTTACTCAGATGCAAGTACACATGTATACTTCTTGTAGGGTTGAAGTCAAGTTAAACAAGTCTGCCTCTTCAAATCTCTATTGTGTCTTTACAGTGGGACCTTCCAGTGCTTTCTTCCCCATGTGAAGAACACGTTGCACACTGTCACCTGTGTCCTCCTAACGTGCAGCACTTCCTGCTCCTCACAATGACTGAGTAACAATTCATCACTCACCCCAGCCCTCCTGCTCCCTACTCTCTGCAGCTTCTCATGCGCCTTGTTCAGTCTCAAATTCTGTGACATTAACTTCGTTAGCTTCCTAGGTCAGTGAGATCATTCTCTAACTGATTTCCTACCCGAGTTTATCTACTTCACATCGTGACTCCTGGGCTGAGCTGCGTTGTCACACGTGACAGGGTTCACAGATGCCTGGTTTTCCACGGAGCACACACACCTCGCTGGCTTTATCCACTCGGTGGACTCAGAGCTTGTTTTATTTCCTAGCTACAAGGACTGGAACCTCTTCGGCATACTGATTTCTCTTCTTTGAACCTGTTCTCAGTAGTAGGACAGCTGGATTGTGCAGCGGTCCTACTCTTCGTTTTGTAATGAATTTCATGGGGAATTTGAGGAATTCAGTATGATAACATTCATTATTGAGAATTTGCACCTTTAAGTAATCTATATTTGTTGTAATTTTCCCCACTCCTATGCCTTCCTTTCAACCACTCCACTCCTCCCTATTTAAAAATACTTTATTTCCATGTTTTCATTTTCTCATATTAACTCCATTCCCTTCTTTCCTTTCCCATGCCCCTCCCACTTCCCTTTGTCCTTTGTCACTTTTCTGCCTACTTCACATCATTTATTCTACCTTTTAGTCCTTACTTACACTCTAAGTTTCACATACTGGAGAAACTTCTGTAATGACACATTTTTTTTCCTATTTATTTCTCTTAAGTGTATTGCCTCAATGTGCAGGCATTTAGCTATAAATGTCTCCAATTTCTTTCTTAAGTGTATTGCCTCAGTGTGCATGCATTTAGCTATAAATGTCTCTAATTTCTCATTCTTTATGGTAGAGTAGTATTCCAATATGTAAAAAGCAAAACAAAACACATTTTCTTTATCCAGTCTTCAGTTGATGGGCACTTGGCGTATTTCCAAGTTTTATCTTTTTAGAAACTGTGCTGCTCTGAATTTGGGTGCACAAATATTGCTGTTAAATGATTCTTTTAATTCTTTTGTGAAGACAGCCAGCAGGGTTAGAGCTGGGTCAAATGGGACCTCGAATCCTGGCTCTTTGAGATATCTCCATACTTATTTCCACAGTCTTCCACCAGCAAGGTTTCCCTTTCCCATCAGCTTTTGTTATTGGTTGATTTCATGACAGCAGCCATTCTTTCTGGGGTGAGGTTGAGTCTCAGTGTTGTTTTCATCTGCATCTCTGTAATGACCAGTGATGTTCAGCTTTTTTCCATATGTTTATTTACTACTTTTACTTGTTTGTCTGAGAGATGTGTGTTAATTTGAGATGCCATTTTTGTATTGGTTCTGTAGATTTTTCTGATTTTTTTTTTTTTTTTTTTAGTTTCTCCATATATTCTGGAGAACAGACCTTTGTCGGAGGAACAACAGGCAAACTTTTTTTGCACATAGCTGTTTGTTTCTGCACACTGTTGGTTGTTTCTCTTGCTATGTAGGTTTTTAGTTAGTGGAGATCCCAGATGTTGATTGTGCTACTTGACAGCCAACTGCATTTACATATATATCTATGTCTACATCTATCTATATATATATTTATATATCCATATACAGATACAGATATATAAACATTTCCTATGTCAATGTCCACTTGTGACCCAGAAACCTGCCTCGGTGACTGAGCATGCCCAGTGTGAGCTCCCACCTGCCTCATCCAGCTCAAGCCCACCCTCGGTGTTTCTGGGGTATCGGGAGGGGAGGGACAGAGTGGGGCAGTGCAGGGAACCTTACATTTAATTCTTCATCTGAATGTATAATGATATATGAACAGATGAAAAAGATGGCTGTGTTTTCTAAATTTTATTGTTCTATTCTAACCTTTTAAAGTATGATCATGTTGAATGTACAGAATGATGACATAGAAATAAATATTAATTCACTTAAGATGTAAGATTTACTCATTGCTCATTAAAGCTCAGCATCTTGCTTCATTAATATATAACATGTCTATTGAAATTAAGACCCTAAGAAAAATCATAAAAAATTGAAGAAATGTTAGCCAAAATTGTATACTATTACCTAAATCAAATATCAAGCTAGAGGTTTTAAAGAGTACTGTTTTAGTTGTGGTTCGCAAGTAAATCAGAATCAACAGAACAGGTGTAGACATGCAGGAGGACGAGTGTTGGGGGCACTGTGGTGTATGACAGAGGTGGTGGAGTCCCGGAAGTTCCCTCAGCTGTCCTAAGACAAGGCTGGCAGGGGCTCACTGGGTCCGACAGGAAGGGGCGGGCCTGGTGTGAGTGTGGGGGACTGGAGACCAAGAGGAAGGGTGGGCGTAACTCGTATCTAAGAGTGTCAGAAGGAAAATGTCCTCAGGACAGAGGGAGAGAGAGAGAGAGAGAGAGAGAAAGAGAGAGAGAGAGAGAGAGAGAGAGAGAGAGAGAGAGAGAGAGAGAGCCTCCTCTTGAATTTTTATGCTATTTCCCACAATGGAAAGGACAGGTCTTGCTTGTTAACCCACTGCTTCAAATACCAGACTCTGCAAACACTCACAGACACAAAGAAAAAGTTAAAAATGTGTCCTGACTACCTGTGCATCTCATTATTCAGCCAAATCAAGATGTAAAATTAACTGTCACAAATATTGCATTGTTCTGGAGACTGGTGAAACCTACCACATCCACTTCTGTTTGTCACTGTGAGAACCCCATGAACACTGATTGTATTTATGGGCATCTTTGAGCTTGCTGTACCCTCATTTCCATTGACATGAAGTCTAACGAAAAATACCTGTGTAACGCTCACATCCATTAATATCCTTGAGGATGGTTTAGGGAGCAGACATGGGGCTTTTTTAAGCATTCTCATTCCGTAGTTATTTGAGGACATAGTTGCTATTTTCATGTCAAAAGATTTTTGCACAAGTGAAAAAATTCAAAAATTTAAATTTTGGGAGGTACTTGGTATCTAACTTGGGAACTTGCACTTGTGAGGAAGGCAGCAACACAAATAAGCTAAATATCTGGCCGCCCAAATTTAATTTAAATGTAGGCCTCAAACTATAACACCATTCTTGGAGAAGAACTTAAGGAAGAGACCAGGAAATCATTCACCTCAAAAGTTACAATGAAAATCCTACACCTTAGTGGGGCTCCAACAAATCAACGCACTCGTGACCTTTAAGAATGCTCTCTTGACCTCCTTGTTCCTCAGGCTGTAGACCATAGGGTTCAGCATGGGGATCACCATGGTATAGAACACAGAGGCAATTTTGGCAGTGTCCATGGAAACACTGGAGCTGGGCTGCAGGTACATGAAGATTGTAGTCACATAGAAGATGGAGACGGCAGTGAAGTGGGAGGCACAGGTGGACAGAGCCTTGTGATGTCCTGCAGCTGAGTGCATCCTTAGGATGGTGTGAAAAATGAAGACATAGGATGTTGAAATAACCAGCATGGCAAAAAATATTTGGATGTTCGCATCATAAATAACAACGAGCTCAGTAACCCTTTCATCAGAGCAGGACAGAGCCATGACTGCAGGAACATCACAGAAAAAATGATGGATCATATTGGAGCTGCAAAAGGACTGACTGAAGGTTTCCCCAGTGTGGACACAGCCATTCAGGAAACCAAGGACATAGCAGCCCATGACGAGACCCGCACACACACTGCTCCTCATGGTGGTGGTGTAGTGCAGGGGCTTGCACACTGCTGCATAGCGGTCATAGGCCATGGCAGTGAACAGATAATTTTCTACACAAATGAGGGTTGCAAACAGAAACATCTGTGCAGCACAGGCATTGTAGGAAATGACCTTGTTCCCTGTAAGAAGCCGAGCCATGACTGAGGGAGTGACAACTGAGGAGTAACAGAAATCCACCAGGGACAGGTTACCCAGGAAAAAGTACATGGGAGTGTGCAGACGAGGGTCCAGGAGGATCAGCAGGAATCCCCAGGTTGAGGAAGGTGATGAAGAGGAAAACCTGCAGGTGTGGGTCATCGGTGAGTCCCAGCAGGAGGAACTCGGTCACCTCTGTCCTGTTCTCCATCAGTGCTGTCCAGAACCTCTACAGGTGCTGCAGCAGTGAGAGGGGAAGATACAGGAACATAAAGAAACTGAACTGAAATCAGAAAGTACAAGAACTATTATGTAGTGTGTAATCTTTTTTTTGGTACGGGAGATTGAACTGGGGTCCTTGTGCTTGCGAGGCAGGCCACCGAACCACTGAGCTAAATCCCTGGCCCTGTGCAGTGTGTAATCTTAGATTAATTTTGAGGTGAAGATTCTCCAGAGGTATTTTGTTTAGAGGTCCCTTTGATCCAGCTCTTTCCTGCTTGCTATTTTTGCCTCAAAACTAACAGGATCTTACCAGAGTGAAACATGTACACCCATGTACACAGTGGCACAGTTTGCAATAGCTAAAGTTTGGAAACAACCCAATGTCCGAACTTCTGCAGAGTAATGAAAATGTGTTTTTTTAAAAAAAATAAAATGGAGCAATACTCAGCCTTAAAAAAAAGAAAGAAGAGACATTTGTAAATAAATGGATGCACATTGAGGCCATACTCTTAATGAAATAAATAGGATACACATTTGTAAATACCAAATATTATCTGTAGGTGAGGAACTGAAGTGGAAATAAGTATCAAAATGTCTAATGGATAATGTGAACTAGGAAGAAAAAGACGGAAAATAGGAAGGTATGGGAAAAGAAAAAATATGAGAAATGGAAAAAATGGAAACAAAGGCTCTGAAAATATGGAGGGGTTGAGGGGTTGAGTGGTTGAAAGGAAGGCAGGGGAATGCAGAAAAAAAAGATACAGGATACATCATGTAAAGATACAAGTTCCCAATAATGAATGTAACTGTATTGTACACCTAAAGTATACCAATAAATTTAATGAAACAAGAGAAAGAAAACATAGCTGATTCTACTAATAGTAGTAGCTTTACAGGGTTTAAAATCTTAAAATTTTAATGGATCGTCTATGTCATGTAGAAAACTTTAAATTTGTAAAATGCAATACACAAGGTTTAATACAGTAACTTAACCAGGAATTCCGTGGATGCATCTATGAGCAGATCGACTCCTCCTGAGCGCAGGATAATCTGACACCATCAAGTTGCTCTCCTACCATAAACCCATCCGGCCACGTCAGATGTACACCACTGTGTCCCCAGTGATGCTGTGCTTTGGATTTGTTGTTTCTCTCATGTGAGCTATGAATCACAAGAGCAGGGGTGGCTCATTCTCACTATACAGCTGTGAAACGGCAACCTCTGCTCTGCACCCACCCTGGACCGTGACGTATGCCGACTGGGCTTGAGGGCTGAGGGTTGGAAGTGAGTTCGAGTCTGACTGAAATTACCTGAATTTGTAATTACTCATTTTCTCCTTTCTTTCAAACTCAGTCTTGAGCTTTTATAGTGAACTGATTTAATGGTTATGTGTTAATTTCATCTGGAGCTAAAAGTATCCACAAACACAAAAACCATGAAATGATCAATTCTTCAATAACAAAATGTCTCAGTGTTAACAGGTCCTGAATGAAGCTGGAATCCTCTGCCCGGTCTCCTAGTCCTTATCAGCACCTCAGCTCCCCTTGTTGACAGTGAATCCTTAACAGCACCAGCTGTTGATCAAGTTGGAGAAGAGCTGACTCCCGACCCTCATGGCTCCTCTCTGGGCACAAGGAGTGTGGGGGGGTCACTGGGGTGGTGCACGCGCCCTGGTGCAGGGGAGACCAGGGAGGGAGGAGCAGTGGATACAGCAGAGCAGAGAGTTTATGCTCTGAGGGACACACGTCAGCCACACCGTTACCTCTCAGCTTTTGTGAGTCCTCTACGGACTGCACTGAACATGATTTGCCATCTGCACTAGCCATTGTGAGTCCTCCGTGGACTGCACTGAACATGATTTGTGATCTGCACAATAAACGGAGCAAGGAGATGGACTTTCAGGCATTATTGTGAGAATGGAAAAGGAACTAAGGACAGTAAGATGATGGGTGTAAAGCACATCCTGATGAGACCCAGCTCTCAGGCTCTCATTAGGTTGGAACAATGGTTGTGAAGAAGTTTGACCCAGGTCGGTGACACTGAGGCTTTGGTGGCAGGTGACTTGAAGTTTCCCTCCCCAGTTTCCCCTCCCCACACGAGGACCTCTGAGATTCTCTGTGCTCTCCGGGGCCTCAGGGCCTCGCTCTCCTCCAGGGAGGTGGTCGTGGCTGCTGAAAATCCACAAGGGTCAGGCTTTGTGGAAATCCCATTCTTGGAAACCGTATTGGCGAATGAGAATTAGTCTTTTGCCTTCAGCTCAGGCTTTCATTCGCAGCTGTTTCCATGTAACAAATCCCAGAGAGCAAGCTTTGAAACTGTCCAGTTTACGGGCTATGCTTAGTTTTACAAGTGTGTTTGAGAAGCAACTTGTTTGCTTTAAATATTTAATTCAATCACTTCTTGTGATTGAATTTTAAATGCTAATAACAGCATTTAAAATTTCTTTATTTAAGCAGTAGTCTTTTCGAGAACATAAAGCCAAAACTAGTTAATATTTCTTACCGTCCTTTATAAGCCTTTGGTCAGCTACATGTATGCAACGGCCCCAGGAAGCTATTCTGTTCACCAAACTTAAAACACATGGTTACTTTTCACATAGACTGGGGTCCAGGACACAGGATAAGCGTACATGGCAGATATATATGCACTATGTATGGTATCTTTGCATTGCGTGCAGACTTCTTAGACTCTCCAAAATTACAGTGCAGAACTGAGATATTATGCTGCAAGGTAACACAAACAGGAGGAGAAAGACTCAGGACCCAAGCCCCCTTCCAAGAATAAGTAGTTTGCACGATGTTAATATGTTTAGGAAACTTTGAAAAGTAACGAAGAGTCACCTACTTATTTTGAACTTAGGTTTGTGTGTCTTTTTAAACTGTAATTAAAACAGAAATATATAGTGAAAAAGACAGTGTTAGAAATAACTCAAAGCATCATCTGCCTTCATTTTTGTCCCAGTTTTAAGAAACATTATTGTTTATAAGAATCACCAATGTCTAAATGAAGGATATTTGTACCACAGCCTTGCCTCACCATCCTCAAAAGTATTTGGGAAACACCTTTATTTTTAGATAATTCATTGTAAGTGTAGTTAGGACACTGCTTTTGTTTAAATTACAGTTCTCACCAAAAGGTTTATGAAATACAGATGCCTGTCAGTGTGCTAACTGAGAAACAACAGTCAGCACAGAGTAGTGCTTTGAAATAAAAAATATCCAGGGAACCTTGCTGAAGCCCTATGAGAGGAGCTCCCTGTGTCTCAAGTAATGCTCTAATTTTCCCAACATCTCTAAGTCAGGGGAAGAAAATGGACAAGAGGACCCTCACAGGGACAGTGTTCCAAGTTACCTTGAGTCCCTCCTTTGCCAGTGGAACAGCGCCATGGGATCGCTCCTCTCAAGTCACTCACAGAAGGGCGTCTGTCAACAAGGAGGGCTCTCTGAGTCTCCTCTCCAACGGCTCAGCCTCTACAGTTCCCTCCATGTGACTCCCGCTGAGGGATTTCCGTGGCCGCTGCTGCGGGCTCACAGCCAGTCCTCGGGTCAGAACCCCTCCTGCACTCGTGACAGGGACTCTCTCTCCGATGGGCCAGTGCCGTCCAGGAGCAAAGGCAGCGCCGCGTCCCTTCTCACCTGTTGTCAGCTCCAGTCCTGCCGGAGACCTGGAGACAATTATGAGACGCTGTGATCTCTGGAGATTTCCCCCTGAGAATAGGTCAGTTTCTCATCCCAATCTCTTAGGGAAGATGACATGAAACTGCCTCTAGGAACCAAGGTGGTTACATTTTTAAAAATTAAATGTGATTTTATCTGATAAATGGAAATGTAAATAAATTACATACTAAAGAGTTACTCAGATTCAAGTACACATGTATACTTCTTGTAGGGTTGAAGTCAAGTTAAACAATATGCATCTTCAAATCTCTATTGTGTCTTTACAGTGGGACCTTCCAGTGCTTTCTTCCCCATGTGAAGAACACGTTGCACACTGTCACCTGTGTCCTCCTAACGTGCAGCATTTCCTGCTCCTCACAGTGACTCAATAACAATTCATCACCCGTCCCAGCCCTCCTGCTCCCTACTCTCTGCAGCCTCTCATGCGCCCTGTTCAGTCTCAAATTCTGTGACATTAACTTCGTTAGCTTCCTAGGTCAGTGAGATCATTCTCTAACTGATTTCCTACCCGAGTTTATCTGCTTCACATCGTGACTCCCGGCTGAGCTGTGCTGTCTCACGTGACAGGATTCACAGATGCCTGGTTTTCCACGGAGCACACACATCTCGCTGGCTTTATCCACTCGGTGTACTCAGAGCTTGCTTTATGTCTTACCTACAAGGACTGGAACCTCTTCGGCATACTGATTTCTCTTTGAACCACTTCTCCGTAGTGGGACGGCAGGATCACGTTGTGGTCCTACTCTTAATTTTTAAAATGCACTTTATTGGTTCATTTAATATATGTTATATAACAACTTTCATGTTTAGAAAATTGCTGCTTTGCGTAATCCTTCTTGGTTCTTAGTTTTCCCCCATCCCCCTGCGCTTCATTCACCCTCTGCTTTGCTCCCCATCTACAAAGGCTTTCTTTCAATTTTTTCCTTTTTTCACATTAATTCCATTCCCTTCTTACTTTTCCTTACCCCTCTCACTTCTCCTTCCACTTTGATCTTTTTCTTTGTACATCACATTATGTATTATAAATTTTAGGCCTTATTTACACTTTTAGTTTCTCACACTACACTATTCAGTATCTACACTTAGGTGTCCTATTTATTTCACTTACGAGTATCGCCTCAGTGTGCTTCCATTTAGCTATAGACGTGTGGAGTTTCTCACTTTTTATGGTGGATTCTACTTCATTTTATTTTAAAAAAATATTTTCTTTATCCAGTGACCTGCTGATGGGCAAATGGCCTGTTTGCAAGTTTTAGCTATCACAAATTGTGCTGCTTTGAACATGGGTGCACTCATATCAGTGTGGTGTGAGTCTTTTATTACTTTTGGGAAGGTAGCATGGGAATAACTAGATCAAATAGGAATTCCAATCCTAGCATTTTGAGGTATCTCATACTGACTTCCAAAGTGGTTCCATGAGTCTACACTCCCACAGGTACTGGAGCAGGATTCCTCATTCCCCACAGACCTTCCAGGAGTTGCTCTTGGTTGATTTCATGACAGCAGCCATTGTTTCTGGGCTGAGGTGGAATCTCAGTGTTGGTTTCATTTGCATCTTTTGAATGACCAGTGATGTTTAACATTTTTTCTTATGTTTATTTGCTATTTGTACTTTGTCTGAGAAATGTCTGTTTGTTTCAGATACCCATATTTGGACTGGGTCTTTAAATTTGGAAGGTCTGACTTTTTGAAGCTCTTTATACATTTTAGATAGTAGACCTTTATCTGAGGAACAGCTGGTGAAAATTTTCACACTGTTGGTCATTTCTCTTGCTGCACAGAAATCTTTTAATAAGAAGACATCCCACTTCCTGGTTATTTGTGTTAGATCACAGGCAACTGAGGTTTTGTTCATAAAATCATTTCCTATACATATGTCTTCAAGTGTTGTACTTAACCTTTCTTCCAGCTGATTTAGTGTTTTTGTTTAATTAGATCTTAAATACATTTCAATTTTATTTTAGTGCCTGATGAAAGATATAGGTCTAGTTTTAATCTTTGGTAAGTTGAAACCCAGTTTTTCTAGTACTATTTATTAAAGAGGCTGTCTTTCCTCCTGTGAGGGTGTGTGGCTCCATTATCAAAGATGAGGCTCTTGAGTGTGTCTGGAGTAATTTCTGCATCTTCTAATCTGTTCCACTGATCCTCAGGTCTGCTTCTTTGCTGGTACCACACTGTTTTTATCTTAGTACCTTTGTAGTATAGTTTCAAGTTGGGGATTGTGATACCCCTACCTTGTCTTTATTGACTCAAGTTGCTCTTGTTATTCTAGGTCTTTTGTGGTTCCAAATGAATTTTTTGATTATTTTCTACAGATCTGTGAAGTATTCTGGGATTCACTTGGGATTGCATTGAATCCAGATAGCAGTTTTGGAAGTATGGCCACTTCAACAAGGTTGGTTCTTTCTTCCCAGGAACAAGGGATGTCTTTCCATTTTCTGATATCATCTTTGTTCTCTTTTTTCAGAGTGCTATAGTTTTCAGAGTAGAGATCCTTGATTCCTTTCATTAGTATGATTCCTAGGTATTTCAATTTTTTGGATAACATTGTAAAAGGAATTGTTGGCCCCATTTCTGTATCAGCGAGTCTGATGTTTGCGTACATGAAAGCTATTAACTTTGTGTTTTGTTATTGTATCTAAATACTTTGCTGGTTATTGGTTATTAAGTCTAGAAGACTTTTGCTGTAGTTCTTTGAGTGTTTTATATAGAGTATCATGTCTTCTGCAAATAATGACAGTTTGACTTCTTCATTTCCTATCTTTATTCCTTATATTTCTTTCTCTTGCTAATTGCTGTGGCTAATATTTCCAAAACTATATTGAAAAAGAGTGGTGATAACAAACATCTTTGCCTTGATCCTGATTTTAGTGTGAAGCATTTCAGTGTTTCACCATTTAGTTTTTCTTGCAAGGCTTTTGTCAGATTGAAGTAGAGGCTGTCTATTCAAATTTTTTTGAGGATTTTTATCATAAAAGCATGTTGAATTTTGTCAAATTCTTTTTTGCCTCTATTGAGATGATCATATGGTTTTTGTCCTTGGCTCTCATAATGTAGTGTATTATGTTTACTGATTTGCATATTTTGAACATCCCTGCATACCTGCAGTGAATCTCACTTGGTGAGTGTGCATGATGTTCTTGATGATTTTCTTCATTCTATTTTTCACTATCTGGGGAATTTCACATCTGTGTTCATTAGTGAGATTGGCCTATAGTTCTCTATTTTTTTGATTGGGTCTTTCTCCGCTTCAGGGATCAAGGTGATGATTGCTTACAGTAATGAATTTGGGAGTATTGCTTTCCTTTCAATTTCACTGTGGAGTTTAAACAGTAGTGGCAATAGTTCCTTTCTAAAGATCTTGTAGAATTCAGCAGTGAAGCCAACAGGACCCAGGCATTTGTTAGTTGGTACATTTTAATTACATTTTCAACTTTGTTGGTTGATATTGGGCTGTTTTGAGTTTTTAGGTCTTCATTCAGCTTTGGTAATTTGTATGTTTGGTGCATATTTATTAATTATTGTCATCTCTTGCTCTTGTATTATTCCCTTTATGAGGATGAAGTGTCCTTCTTTGCCCTCTTAATCAGTGTTGGTTTGAAATGAATTTGATCTGCAAAGAGGTTAGCTACTCCCACTTTATGTCTGATTCCTTTAGCATGGAGTGTTATTTTCTACCCTTTAAATTTCAGTCTATGAGTTTCTTTTTGAATTAAGTGTGTTTCTTGTGTGCAGCATATTGTTGGATCTTGCTTCTTGACCCATTCTTCCAGTTTTTTTTTTTTTTTTTTTTTTTTTGGATGGGTGAATTGAGACCATTAAGGTAGATGGTTATAAATGATATATATTGGCTCAACTTTGTCATGACATTTTCTTTTTGTTTGATTCTTCCCTTTGCATTTAATTTCTTGTCGTGCCTGATGGCTTCATTCTATTGGACTTCCTGGAGTTGTGATCCTCATTGCATTTTCCTAGGATATTGTTAAAGTTTTTTTGGAGTGCTGGTTTGGTATTAATGAAGTTCCTAAGGTGCTCTCTGTCATAAAAGTATCTTATTTCTCCATGAATTCCAAAAGAAAGTTTTGTAGGGTAAAACTCATTCTGAGTTGGACATTGTTTTCCTTTAGGGCTTGACCAGGCAGGAAGTGATGGGCCAACACAGGAAGCCTTCAATTTAATTCTTAATCCAAATGCATAATGTTAATGAATAGGAGAAAAAGATGGCTGCGTTTTCTGCATTTTATTGTTCTATTCTATCCTTTTGAAAATAGGATCATGTTGAATGTACAGAATGATGACATAAGAAATAAATATTAATCTCAGATGTGACATTTACATATTTCTCAATGAATTTCAAAATGATGAGCTTTCTTTTTGAATCTATAACATGTTCTCTCAAATTGTCTCTAAGAATATCAGTTAAAGAATGAAGAGATCTTAGCCAAAATTGTATACTATTGCCTAAATCAAATATCGTTAGAGCTTTTAAAGAGTATTGTTTTATTTGTGGTTCTCAAGTAAATCAGAATCAGAAGAACAGGTATAGACATGGAGGAGGACATGCGTTGGGCACTGTGGTGTATGACAGGAGGTGGTGGAGTCCCCAGAAGTTCCCTCAGCTGTCCTAAGACAAGGCTGGCAGGGGCTCACTGGGTCTGACAGGAAGGCCTGAGACAGGGAGAAGACGGGCCTGGTGTGAGTGTGGGGACTGAAGACCAAGAAGAGGGGCAGGGCGTTAACTGGTGTTTCAAAGTGTCAGAAGGAAAATTTCCTCAAGGAGGGAGGGAGGGAAGGAGGGAGAGAGGGAGGGAGAAAATTTGAATTTGTCCTGTCTTGACCTTTTGTACTATTTTCCAAACAAAGAAGACAGATCTTCCTTATTAATCCACTGCTTTAAATCTGAGACTCTGTGAACACTCTCAGACAGAGAAAAAGTTAAAAATGTGTTCTGGCTACCTGTACATCTCATTATTCAACCAAATCAAGATGTAAAATTAACTGTCACAAATACCACATTATATTGGAGCCTGATGTAACCTACCACATCCACTTTTGTTTGTCATTGTGAGATCCCCATGAACGCTGATTGTATTTATGGGCATCTTTGAGCTTGTTGTACACACATTTCCACTGACATGAGGTCTAAAAAAGAACACCTGTAATGCTCACACACATGTGTAGCCTTCAGGTTGGTTTAGGCAACAGACTTTGGGCTATTTTAAGCCTTCTCACTCTGTAGTTATTTCTGGACACAGTTGCCTTTTCATGTCAAAAGCTTTTTTGGGCAAGAGAAAGAATTATTTCAATAATTTAATTTTAATATAAGCCTCAAAAATTAACACCATTCTTGTAGAAAAACTTAAAAAAGGAACTGAGAAATGGTTCATTCACAAAGTTACAATGAAAATCCTACACTTAGTGGGGCTCCAAAAAATCAACTCACTCTTGACCTTTAAGAATGCTCTCTTGACCTCCTTGTTCCTCAGACTGTAGACCATAGGGTTCAGCATGGGAATAACTATAGTATAGAACACAGAGGCAATTTTGGCAGTGTCCATTGAGAGACTGGATGTCGGCTGCAGGTACATGAACATCGTAGTGACGTAGAAGATGGTGACGGCAATGAAGTGGGAGGCACAGGTGGACAGAGCCTTGCGATGTCCCGCAGCTGAGTGCATCTTTAGAATGGTGCCAAAAATGAAGATGTAGGATGTTGAAATAGCCAGGATGGCAAAAAAGATATGGAAGCTCACAAGATAAATAAGAATGAGCTCACTAACCTGTTTGCCAGAGCAGGAGAGAGCCATCACTGCAGGAACATCACAGAAAAAATGATGGATGGTATTGGAGTTACAGAAGGAGAGACTGAATGTGTTCCCAGTGTGGATGCAGGCATTCAGTAAACCAACAACATAGCAGCCCATGACGAGACCTGCACACACACTGCTCCTCATGGTGGTGGTGTAGTGCAGGGGCTTGCACACTGCTGCATAGCGGTCATAGGCCATGGCAGTGAACAGGTAATTTTCCACACAAATGAGGGCTGCAAACAGGAACATCTGTGCAGCACAGGCATTGTAGGAAATGACCTTGTTCCCTGTAAGGAGCCCAGTTATGACCGAGGGAGTGACAACTGAGGAGTAACAGAAATCCACCAGGGACAGGTTACCCAGGAAATAGTACATGGGAGTGTGCAGACGAGGGTCCAGGAGGATCAGCAGGAGCATCCCCAGGTTCGCAGCCACGGTGATGGTGTAGATGAGGAGGAAGGTGATGAAGAGGGGAAGCCGCAGGTGTGGGTCATCGGTGAGTCCCAGCAGGAGGAACTCGGTCACCTCTGTCCTGTTCTCCATCAGTGCTGTCCAGAACCTCTACAGGAGCTGCAGCAGTGAGAGGGGAAGATACAGGAACATAAAGAAACTGAACTGAAATCAGAAAGTACAAGAACCATTATGTAGTGTGTAATCTTAGATGACTTTTTAGGTGAAGATTCTCCAGAAGTATTTTGTTTAAAGGTACCATTTGATCTAGCTCTTCCTGTTGGGTATTTCCCTCAAGATTAAAAGAAACTTACCACAGTGGTATATGTGCATCCATGTTTACAGCAGTACAGCTTGTAATAGCTAAAAGTTGGAAGCAACCCATTTTCCCAATAGCTGCAGACTGAATGAATTGTGTGTTTTTTTAATAAAATGGAATAATCAGCCATCTAGATCCACAAACTAGGGACATTTATAGAAAAATGTATGCAAACCGAGGCCATAACCTTAATGAAGTAAGTAAGATGCACATGTGTAAATACCAAATAGTTTCTCTGGTATGAGAAAATAAAAGTGCAAATAAGTATCAAAATGTCTAATGGATAATGTGAAATAGGAAGAAAAAGTCTAAAGATGTAGGGGAAATGGGAGGGGTATGGAAAAGGAAAAATACGAGAAGTGGAAAATATGGAAATAAAATCTCTGTAAATATGGAGAGCTTGAGGAGTGGAAAGAAAAGCAGGGGAATGGAGAAAAAATAAAAAACAAGATATATGATGTAAACCTCCAAATTCCCAAACATGAATGTAACTATATTGTATATCTAAAATATATGAATAAATTTAATAAAAAACAGAAAGAAAACAGCTGATTCTATTACTAGTATGTAGTTTAACAGGCTTAAAATTTTAAACTCAAAATTTTAATGGAACTTCTATATCATCTAAAATGTTTAAATTTGTAAAATGAAATACAGAAGGTTACAGTAACTGGATAAAAATTCTGTGGATTCGTCTGTGAGCAGATCCACTTCTTCTGAACACAGTAAAATCTGACACTCTCAAGTAGCTCTCCTACCATAAGCTCTTCCATCCACGTCAGATGTACACCCACTGTGTCCCCAGTGATGCTGTGCTTTGGATTTGTTGTTTCTCTCATGTGAACTATGAATCACAAGAGCGGAGGTGGTTCATTCTCACTGAACAGCTGTGAAATGGCTATCTCTGCTCTGTACCCACCCTGAACCATGACCTGTGCTGACTGGGCTTGAGGGCTGAGGGTTGGAAGTGAGTTCGAGTCTGACTGAAATTAACTGAATTTGTAATTACTCATTTGCTCCTTTCTTTCAAAATCAGTCTGCAGTTTCTATAGTGAACTGATTTAATGGTTATGTGTTAATTTCAACTGGGGCTAAAGCTAATAAAACCCTAAAAGATTAAAGCAACTTTTCTTCAATGACAAAATGTCTCAGTGTGTTAACAGGTCCTGAAGGAAACTGGAATCTTCTGCCCTGTCTCCTACTCCTTATCAGCAGCTCACCTCCCCTGTTGACAGTGAATCCTTATCAGCACCAGCTGTTGATCACGTTGGAGAGGAGCTGACTCCTGACCCTCATGGCTCCTCTCTGGCACAGGGGATGTGGGGAGGTCACTGGGGTAGAGCATGTGCCCTGGTGCATGGGAGCCCAGGGAGGGAGGAGCAGTGGATACAGCAGAGCAGAGAGTTTATGCTCTGAGGGACACACGTCAGCCGCACCCTTACCTCCTAGCCATTGTGAGTCCTCCACGGACTGCACTGAACATGATTTGTGATCTGCATAATAAATGGAGCAAGGAGATAGACTTTCAGGCATTATTGTGAGAATTGAAAAGTTAGTAAGGACAGTAAGATGATGGGTGTAAAGCACATCCTGATGAGTCCCAGCTGTCAGGGTATTATTAAGATGGAACAATAGTTGTGATGAAGTTTTGACCCAGATCGGTGACACTCAGGGCTTTGGTTGCAGGTGACTTGAAGTTTCCCTCCCCAGTTTCCCTTCCCCACATGAGGACCTCTGTGATATTCTGTGCTCTCCAGGGCTTCGCTCTCCTCCATGGATGTGGTTTCGGCTGCTGCATATCCATGTGGGTCAGGCTTTGTGGAAATCCCTTCCTTGAAATCCACATTGGAGAGTGAGAAAAAAGTCTTTTGCTCTTCACTTCAGTCTCCTTCATGACTCTCAGCACATAACAAATTCACAGAGGGCAAGCACTGAAGCTGTCTAGTTTATGGGCTGTGCTTAGTTCACAAGTGTGTTTTAGAATCCAGTTGTTTGTTTTAAATATTTTATTTGAATCTTTTCTTGTGAAATAACAGTATTTAAATTTTCTATAATGAACCTGTAGTCTTTTGGAGAATACCAGCCCAAAACTAATTGATATTTCCTACCATCCTTTCTAAGCCTTTGGTAATCTAAATTTATTTATTTTCAAAATTGGAATAGTATTTTATTTTTCATTGAGTTTGTTGGTACTTTTTAAGTATACAATACAGTTGCACTCATCGTTGGGATCTTGTACTTTTACATGACAGGTCTTGGCTCTCATTTGTTCGCCATACCTCTGCCCTCCCTTCATCGCCTCCTCCCTTCCCTATTTACAAAGACTTTGTTTCCATTTTTCCTTTTCTCATATTTTTTCTTGTCCCTTATTTACTTTCCCCCACCCTTCCCACTTCCCCTACTCCTTTAGCCCTTTTCTTCTGTTTCACATTGTCACTTATACAATTTGGATCTTATTTACAGTTTTAGTTTTTCACACCAGAGAAACTATTTGGTATTTACACGTGTGTCTTATTTATTTCACTAAAGAGTATGGCCTCACTATGCATCCATTTTCCTATAAATGACTCTAGTTTCACATTCTTTATATGGAGTTACCTAAAAGAACTAGGACTGGAGGTTCCATTTGACCTAGTTATCACTCTGCTGGGTATCTTTCCAAAAGAATTAAAAGAATCATACCACAGTGATATATGCACACCCATGTTTATAGTGGCAATTTGTAATAGTTAAACCTTGGAAACAGTTAAATTCCATATCAATTGGATACTGGATAAAGAAGATGTGTTTTTTCTATAAAATGGGGTAACTTAAATTTATGAAATAGCCTCAGGATGATATTACCACACTTAAAACATGTGGTTACTTTTCACACACACTCTGTTCCAGAACACAGGTTAAGAATATATGGCAGATATGTAGCTGATATGTGGTATGTCTGCACTATATGCAATCTTCTTATACTCTCCAAAATTACAGTGCAGAACTGAGAAATTATGCTGCAAGGTAGCATAAATAGTACGAAAAAGGCTCAGGACCCAAGCCACCTTCCAAGAATAAGCAGCTTACATTATGTTAATATGTTTAGGAAACTTTGCAAAGTAAAGGAGAGTCACCTATTTATTCTGAATTTATGTTTGTGTGTGTTTTTGAAACTCCAATTAAGATAGAAATAAAGGATGAAAAGACAATGTCAATAATCATTCACGTACCTTCATTTTTGTTCTAATTTTAAGAATCATTATTTTCCATAAGAATCACCAAAGTTGAAATGAAAGATAATTGTACCACAGGCTTGCCTCACCATCTACAGAAATATTTAGAAAACACTTTTATTTTTAGATAATTCACCATTAGTATAGTTAGGACACTGCTTTTGTTCAAGTTACACTTGTCAGTAAAAGGTTTATGAAATACAAATACTTACCAGTGTGTTAACTGAGAAACAGCAGTCAGCACAGAGTAGTGCTTTGAAATAAAAAATATCCAGGGAACATTACTGAAGCCCTATGAGAGGAGCTCCCTGTGTCTCAAGTAATGTTGTAATTTTCCCAACATCTCTAAGGCAGGGGAAGAAAATGGACAAGAGGACCCTCACAGGGACAGTGTTCCAAGTTACCTCGAGTCCCTTCTTTGCCAGTGGAACAGCGCCATGCGATCGCTCCTCTCACATACCTCACAGAAGTGCATCTGTAAACAATGAGAGGTCTCCAAATCCTTCTCCAACAGCTCAGCCTTTAAAAGTCTATCCATGTAATGTACCTTTGAGGGATTTCTGTGGCTGTGGTACAGGCTCGCAGCCAGTCCTCAGGTCAGAATCGCTCCCACACTGGTGACAGGGACTCTCTCTCCGATGGGTCAGTGACATCCAATAGCAAAAGCAGCATTGTGTCCTTTATCAACTGTTAGCGCCAGTCCTGCCAGGATCCCAGAGGCTTCTGAATGGAGACCTGGAGACAATTAAGAGACACTGTGATCTCTAGAGACTTCCCTCTGAGAATAGGTCAGTTTCTCCTCATAGTCTCTTATGGAAGAAGCCATTAAACTGCCTCTATGGACCAAGGTGGTTACATTTTAAAAAATTAAATGTGATTTTAACTGATAAATTGAAATGTAAAAATATTGCCTATTGAAGAGTTGCTTAGATATCTGGTCACTTCAGATGCCAATTTTTGGATTGGGTCTTTAAATTTGAAAGGACTGATTTTTAAAATATTCTTTATCTATTCTAGATAGTAGACTTTTGTCTGAAAACAGCTGGTGAATAACTTTTCCCCAATTATAGTTTGTCCCTTCACACTGTTACTCCTTTCTCTTGCTATGCAGAAGCTGTTTAATAATTTAATAAGAAGAGTAAAATATCTTGTACCTGCTTTATGATACATAGTAGTGACCATGCTTTATCAGAGCTATATTTAATGATATTACTCTAGAATGTTCTCTGTCCAGATGATGATTAAGATGCTAATAAAAAAATGGTGCCAGGTACCACAACAGCAACAGAACTTTGCTGTTTTCTGGATATTATTCTTTTCTTTGTTTTTTTTAATGCAATGTGCTGAATGTCTATAATTTTATTCAGATGACTGAAGAATCTGGAAAGGCTGTTGCTGCTATTGATGCATAACATAGTGCTATTATTGTTCTTTTTATATAAATATAAATATATATGTATATATATATAATTGTCATTTTTGGAAACTTTAATGGTGCTGTCAACTTTGGAAAAAGTTATCCCAATTTACTGTGTTGAGTTGGCATCGTACAGAAATGG